ACCTGCCTCTGCCTCCCAAGTGCTAGGATTAAAGGTGTGCACCATCATGCCCGGCTATTTTCATTTATTTTTTAAAATTTTTTATGTGTACGAGTGTATTGCCTGCATGTGTGTGAGTGCATCCGTGTCATACAATGCCACAGAGGTCAGAGGAAGGCTTCGGATTCCCCTGGAACTGGAGTTAAGGATGGTTTGTAGCCGCCGTATGGATGCTGGGAATCAAACCTGGGTCCTCTACAAGAGCAGTCAGTGCTCTTAACCACTGAGCCCTCTCTCCAGCCCCAGCAACAAGTGTTCTTAACTGCTGAACCATCTGTCTAGTCCTTTGGTTTGTCTGTTTTGAGACAGAGTCTCCCTGTAGCCCCAGCTAGCCTGGAACTCATTATGTAGGCCAGGCTGGCCTCTAACTCACAGAGGTCCACCTGCCTCTGTCTCCTGAGTGCTGGGATCAAAGACAAGTGCCACCATGCCCCCCTCCTTTTTAAAGAGAAGGTATATCTGTAAGTAGGCAAGATGAACAAGAGGTGCAGTAGTGGTCTGTCCAGCTGTCCACCCAGCACCTCCCAACATAGTACGTTCATTACAATGATTAGAGGAGCAGACACTGTCTCTTAAAAAAATCTGAAGCTAGAGGGATGTCACTCAGTGGGAGAGGGTGAGCAGAGGCCCCAGCAGTCTCCATTCGTGTCACAGATGGTTGAAGCATTTACTGCTAGAGTACCTGAGTCCAGTGTGGCAGCTGTGGGTGACCCAGGAAGAAGAGTCCAGCCATGTTGTTACCACCCCTGGAGGCTCTTGCAGCATAAGCCATCCCAAAGCTTTGACCATCTGGGATCCTATGAGGTAACCAGGCACCCACCCCACAATCCTGTAAACCAGCCCCAAGGCCTGCCCTCCCTCCCACAGCTGGGAAGCATCTGGGAGGCCCACCCTGAGCAGCCTAGTGGCCCATTACCCCCTCACTGCTACGAAAGTAGCCAGAGAGCACTGTGGATCCATGGATGGCCCAAAGAAGCACTAAGACAACCAGAGTGGCCTGCTGCAGCTAGGAGCCTTTTTTTAAAAATCCTCCCTAGCACTAAATATCAGCTGATGAGCCCATTCTAGAAGCCTGGCCACTGAGGCCTCAAAAAACAGCTGGGCAGACCTTCTGAGACAGGTCAGTCCCAGGTTCATTACACAGTCTTAATTTACAAAAAGGAAGAATGGGCTTTAAGTCCCTAAACACTAGTTTTATTTTCATAAACACAACTATTACCTTTCCATTCCCTAGAGATCTGATGTGGGGACTGAGCTCCTCCCATTTCCTGGGGTCTCCTATGGTCCTTTCCAGGACACAGACCTATCATGTCCATCTTGTACCCTCCTCCATCTTAACTTGCTTCCCAATTTATGGGGTGTCACCCAACAAATTTCTGGTATGTTTTATGACTATCTGAATCCTTAGAAAGGTCCTTATCTACCTTTAGACACAACAGACACTGACAGGCACAGAATTCTACATTCAGAGTTCTCATGAGGATTCTGAAACTCGTGCCTGGAAGATGTAGGGTAGTCCCTAGTCAGAAAAGCCTGGTTACCTAGGAAGGAGGGGATAGGAGTCCGTGTGACAAGTGAGCAAAAGGGGGGAGTTCAGTAACATGTTTTCTTCTATCTTTTTTTACTATTCAAATTTCTATTTTTTTAACAGTCAAGACTATTTTTCCATTGCCTTTTCTAATCAGTGTACAGAATAGGTTCATGACAATATTTCCATACATACATCTCATTGCTCTCTGCTCATACACACACGAACTCCCAGTTACTTTCCCTTGGCTCTTTTCTCTCTCTGCTTATAAAGTAGGGAAGCCTAATTTAAGGAACATCAGGCTGAGCATGGGGATGCATGCCTCTAATCCTTATACTCAGGAGCCTGAGGCAGAAGAATCCTGAATTGGAGGCTAGCCTGGGCTACCTGAGCCCTTGTCTTTAAAAAAAGTAAATAAATAAATTTAAAAGTAAAATAATATGAAAACTAAAACCAAATTTTCCATAGACACAAAACCTAAGCCCCAGGGAAAGATTCTGAACCCCATACTCAGATTCACCATTGGGGCCTGTCACAGAGGTTGACCCCTGTCCCAAGGCACCCTGATATTGAAGGCATAATGTTTCCTTCCAGCTCTTGGAACAGTCAGCCAGCCCAGCGGAAGTCTGCTAAGGTACATCATTCTGTTCACAGCCTGCAGTCCATGAAGTCAGGGCTCCATGGCAGATGCCAGCCTTGCTGCCCTAGATGGAAAGGCTTTCCAACAAGGTGGCAAGACAGTGTCTGCCTGCTTAGGGCACCTTCAGGGGACCCCACAGAGGAGAAACACAAATGATCACCGACTCAGTGATGCCCAAAGTCCTCACTCAACAGAGCTGGTGAGATCCCAGACTGTGGCTACTAAGTGTCCCTATGTCCAGTGTTACAGCCACCATCATCCACTTCTAGTTCCGCCCTCATCCACTTCTAGTTCTGCCCTCATCCACTTCTGGCTCCACTCTCCACTCAGAGCCCCAACTGCTCTGTCTATCCATGGCTGAAGTTGCCCTGCTGTCTGGTTCTGGCACTGGGGCTGTAACCATGGGAGTCTCAAGGACACACTGCACAGGGCCGGACTTACTGAAATGCATCTTGAGATTCTGAGCTGCAGCATCCCAGGTTCATGTCCTGAGCAGGAGCTGGCACTGGCCTGAGCCACAAATCTCAAAACAACAGGGTTTGACCAACTGGACACTGTCCCATCAACAGCACATAGAGAAGAAAAGACACAAGACCAGACCGTAGCAGAATGTCATAGCATTAAGTTGGAGGCTGCCCCAGAGGACTCTCACTGGCTACTCTAGTCCAAAGCTGCTGAGCATATAACAAGGACAAACGACCAATGATTGTCACCTGTGTCAGCAGCTGATCAGGTGCCAACTGGTTGATCCAACGTGTGTATCGCTCGGTAGAGTCTGGGGGGTCTCTCCTCACTTGGCACCCAACAATCTGTGAAAACAGCAGCAAACAGAACTTAAAGTTGTTGAGGAAGTATGTGTAAAATTTATGGAATTTGGGTCAAGTTAGGCAAAGGGAAGAGTGGTAAGGATGCCAGACCCTACGTGGGATGGTCCTAAGTCCTATCCTAGTATCAAATGGCTAAATCTGCCCTCATCTAGGCTGAGACATGTAAAAAGCATCATGCTCCCCTTGATGCATTCAGGTTAAGATTACCCAACTAGGAGCTCCAAACACCTCACTATTTCTAACAACTCAGTTTGTGAATTGTAGTTCAGTTTGAAAAATCACCATCACAGTCTCTGGGAACGCACTGGGTTCAGTCCTGGGAAAGCATCACTTTGAATAAAGAGGAGTTAAAAGTAAGATTGTGCCCTCTAGGACAGCCTCCTTCTGTCCTGATTCTTTTCCCTACAAGGCCACAGCACCTTGATCCCCCCACCCCTCCATATTTCTCTACTGGGGAAAAGATGGTACTTGGCACCTCAGAACATACCCCTACCTCAGAACATGTCCCCATAGCCTCAGAACACATCACCACCTCAGAACATGTCTCCACCTCCTCAGAACAAGGCCCCACTGCAACAGTGGATTCTCCAATCAGGTTCTTGTCTTGTCCACATCCAGAAAGGACTGCACAAACAGTGAAGGAAAATAAACAAGGGGAGTGTGGACTTGCCACGAAGGAACAATTAAAACAGAGGAGTAGAAATCTGAATGTGAAAACAGAATGGATGCTAACCGAGAGGTTGGTAGTGTTACAGCTCTACATTCTCAGCAGGCTTCAGGGTTCCTAACCGAGGGGTTCACCTGGTGCAGCTTTAGCCGAGGGCAGTCCCTTGCAGAGCAAGTCTGGATCTGCTGAGGACAAGCCAGGCGCCCTATCTCTGGAGTGTCTCAAGGCTAGAGCAAGTTCCCCTGCTTGCAGCCAAAGTCACAGGCAGCAGGCCTCAGCATCTTGGTGGGCTGTCAGTTCTCCAAGGCAGGGTGAGTCCTCCTTGCAGCTGAAGTAGCAGGACCTGGAAGCACAGTGGGGTCTGCCTCTAGGGAGTCTCAGGTCTTCCTAAGAGTACAACACTGCTCTTTCTTCCTAAGCTGGTGGTGGCTGCAGCCTGGCAACTGGCAGATCAGCAGATGCCTGTGTCTTGCTTCATCCTGGGCCAGCGGCTTCCTTTTATATCTCCGGCAGTGATGAATGCAAGGCCAGCACCAGGTGCAGTCTCCACTGCCAGACACTGTGGGCAAGCAGACGGCAAGGTGCTGCAGGACCTATGAGAGAAGACAGAGTTCACCAACTACAAGCTGCGAGAGTGGTACAGGGCTTCCTGGAGGATTGTCCGACCTGCCACCTGACCATGGACAAGATCCAGAAGATTGACACCAGTTTCTTCTTCTCCAGCAACGCCTCCAAGCTCACCTAGCATGTCTTCTACATGTGTGACACCAATGGGGTGGTGCCATCAACGTCAGGGAGTTCATGATTGTGCTGAAGGGCAAGCTGGAACAGGAGTTCAAGTGGGCCTTCAGCACAGCTCACCTGCGAGGCAATGGCTGTAGGAGCTACAGCTGAGGCTCCAAGAGCACGTAGGTCATCTACAAGATAGTATCCTCCATGATGAAGATGCCCGAAGATATGTCCACTCCAGAGCAATAAACAGACAAGATCTTCAGGCCGACTCACATAAACAGCAGTGGCAAACTGTCCCTGGAAGGATGCATCAACAGTGCCAAGAGTGACCAGTCCAATGTCTGGTAGCTGTGGGAAGGCTCTGATCTTCAGATTCTGTGGGCTTCAAATGGTAGCCTGTGCTGACATCAGGATCTATGGATTTTCATGTCCATTCCGATTGTCAACAGCTCTGCTTGTCCCTAAGGAGCAATTCTCTACCAACTTCATTAGAGCCCGGAGAAAGCAGCCTGCTGCTGACATCAGAAGCAGGGGGAGCAGCATAGCAGCATGGGGGTATCCTGCCTCAAAACATGCCCCCAACTCCTCAGAACAACCCTACCTCAGAACATGTCCTCCATCTCCTGAGAGCACCTTTCCTCAGAATAGAGCCTCTCCTCAAACACAGCCTGTCTTCAGAGGACAGCCTCTGCTCAGAACACAGCTGTAGGAGGCTAGGCTTGAGACCCAACAGCACAGGGGCGCCCTGCTTCCTGTTGACGAGCAGGAAGGCGCAGTTTTGGGGCTTATGGCCCGACCTGATTCCTGCCGAGAGCCCTGGACACTGCTGATGTGTGACACATGCCAATGGAAGAGAACACCTCGGACTCAGGGGCCAATGGGGAGGCAAGGAGGGGTATAAAGGGACCTCCCTTGTATGCAATAAACGAGAGCTTACTGGCAGACCGCCCAGATTGTTTCCCAGTGTCGTTGACTCCGCACCTACTCATCCCCTGCCCCCACGGTGGGAGGGAGGTCCGCCTAAACAGCAACACTGGTGCCCAACGTGGCTAAACAGGCTTCTACCTAGTCCTGGGCCTTGTTACTCTAATTGCCTTTTTCGTGTGGCATTTTTCTTTCTTTTTGTTTTTCCTCGTTGCTGCCCGGATTGCCTCACCAATTGATGCCACCGTTCTCTCCGTTCGACTCTCCGTTGAGTCCCCTTCGGCTGTTTCCTTCAGTGAGTAGCCCCCTTTCTGTTCTTTGTTCTTTGCCCTAGGTCTGGTGAGTGGCTGAGGGCCTTCTCTCCCTTCTCCTTGTTTGTCCGTCTATAGGGCACATACACTCTGAAAACTGGTTCGCCCGGCGTCTCCACATAAGGATTGACCATCCAGGAGACGGACCCACGGACACCCTCCCAACGGGGTGTCCCACGACTGCAGACACCGTGTGGGCATATGGCCAAGGCCTAACGAACCAAGGAAGTCCCCCACAAAGCACTCTCACCTGGTTCCAAAACACAACCTTCCTTTCCTCTCCTTTCGTTTACTTTTGCTTTTACTTCTCCCATTAATCCCTTAATGCAACCACCAGTTAAAAGCCCCTAGGGCGGTGGCCGGCCTCTTAAACTCCTGGACAGGTTCCCAGTGACTGTGAAATCCCCTCCCACCCACGGGGCGGGGCGGGTTGGAAAGTTTCCTCTCCCGGCCGGCTTCCTTTCTGTAGCTTGCTTTGTCCAGTCTGCCCGTTTTCCATTCCACCATGGGTAATTTTCCCTCTCATTGTAAAGAGCCCTAAATCGAGGCTCTCAGATCCCTACTCATTTCCCGGGGTATCAAGATAAAGTGCACCCTCCTTGATGACTTCTGGCTTGAGGCTTCAGTCCTTGCCCCCTGGATCTCCCCTGAAAATATGTGGAACCCTAATATGTGGATGAGAGTCCTTTTTCTAGCACGAAAATGGGAGGTTCAGGAAGGCAACCCCCCACCCCTCCATACCCATACTCCTCGGTATTCTTAGCTCCATCAAATCCGGGTCCACTGAAGAAATTCTCAAATCCTTTAATGAACATTGCCAGGACCAAAAACTGTTTAGCCTTTCCATTCAATCCCCCACCCACCCCCGACAGTCCCAGAGGATCAAGAGGATTCGGGGACCAAAGTGTCAACCTCATAAGACCCCGGCACCGATTAAGCCACCCAGACAGCCCACCCCCTCTGCCCTGCACTCGGAGACTCCCCTGCCCATATACCCTTGGAGCGAAATTGAACACTCCCGAGCTCCTCCCAAGGATCCTCCTGCACGCCTACCTGTGATCTCACCCCTTGCCCGGGCCCCATGGCTCCCCTCCCTACCCCTCCGCCTCTAGATAAATATGCCTTTGTTGTCAATATGGGCCCGAACGGCCCGCAAAGGCCCTGGATCCCCACCCCTCCCCACCCCCGCAGACTTATCCTTAATTCGCAAGGCCTGCAACAAAAGCGGCCTCGATTCCCCGTACTTTGAACAAATCCTCAAGCAATGGAGCCAGGCCCTTCAAACTCACTATGATTGGTATATCATCTCTTAAAGGCAGTCCTAGACCCCCCAACCTTCCTCACCTGGTGAGCGGCCTATTAAGACCTGGCCGAGGAACAGTCCAGACACAATGCCATAAATCACATCCTGGTCACTATAGACATGCTGATGGGACACGGAGCCTACACCACTCTGGTTGCACAGGCCCAAGTCAGCAACGCGCAATACTTTACCCAAGTTTATAATCTTTCCTTCCAGGCCCTCAAGTCATGCACACCAAAAGACCCTGCCTATTATTTTCATAATCTTATTCAGGCCCCATCGGAACCCTTTACCGATTTCCTCCCTAGGGCAACCCAGGCAGTACAGCACCGCATTCCATATGGCCCTAATCAGGAAATCCTCCTCAAACAACTGGTCTGGGAGGGCTTAAACCCACTTACCCATAATGCTGTGGCCCCAGTACACACGGAGTCCATGAATAAATGGATCACGGCCACTAGAGACCTTGATCACACTCAGGGCCCTATCTAATCCAGGCACTTACGGCTTCCCTTTCTGCGCTGCTCTCAGACCAAACTTCCTTCTCCCAGTCTTCTCCATCTGGTAGACTATGCTGGGGCTGTGGCAAACCTGGCCACCTAAGGCGTGACTGTCCCAAACGGCACCCCAAAACTAAATGCCCTAGGTGCAACAAGGGCTTCCATTGGGCCTGCCATTGCCAATCTTCCCCTAAAGAACCTTTGAACTCCCCAACGGGCAACCCTCAGCCCAGCAAGTAAGAGGGAATCATACAAGTCAAAAAGACAAACTGCACACATTTTGGACCCTGCCACTTTTCAACCACATGCCCTTAATGACCATATGTCTAGATGGACTCCCCATCAAAGGAGTAGTTGATACTGGGGCAGATATCACTGTTATCCCTGAAAATGAGGCTCTAAGATTTCCCCATTGGAAATATATTCCTGGCCCTATGATCACTGGGGGGGGGGGGGAATAACCCTCCGGAATAACCAAATTCCCTGTTCAATGGAAGGACCTCGATGGTGGCGAGGGTACCTTCCGCCCAACTGTCACATATGTCCCATGCGTGCTGTGGGGCAGGGATGTCCTAGAGGACATGGGGGCCATATTAACCACTGATGATAGAGCATTCCTTGAAGACATTGCTGACCATGACTACTCTGGTCGGCTGGGCCACCCTCACCCACCCAGTCACCCCCAATCCTAAGGGCCACTGTTCCCCCGATACAATTAAGACCTATCCCCATCACATGGATATCCAATGCTGATGTATGGGTCGAACAGTGGCCTATAATAGAACCCAAGCTTACTATCCTCAAATCACTGGTAGATGAGCAGCTTAAGCTGGGACACATTGAGCCCTCCAGTAGTCGGTTCAATACACCCATATTTGTAATAAAAAAAAGTCCAGCAAATACAGACTTTTACAAGATCTCAGAGCCATCAATGCCACCATACAAAAAATGGGCCCGCTTCAGGCAGGCCTCCCACACCCCGCAGCCATTCCCCTAGATCATCATGTTATGGTCCTGGACATTAAGGACTGCTTCTTTCATATCCCTGTGGCACCCGAGGATAGAGAACATTTTGCTTTCACAGTCTGGACACCCAATTTTCACACCCCAGCTCAGAGGTTTTAATGGAAGGTCCTCCCCCAGGGAATGAAGAACAGTCCTACTATATGTCAGTACTATGTTTCCTCAATTCTTGCCAGACTGCAACCCTCAGTTCTCCTAGTCTACTATATGGATGATATTCTTGTAGCCCACCAATCCCCCTCCATCCTCCGACAAGCATTTGGCAAAATAATATCTCGCCTAAAGTATGCTACTCTTACTGTTGCACCCGACAAAGTACATCCAACCTTTATCCCCACACATCGTAGCTAAACCTGTCTACTCTCTGGCCAAGTTCCAAGAGCTCTGTGGAACCATCAATTGGTTAAAACAGTTCCTCCCATTGCCTGACGAATGCTTACATAGTCTCTTCTCTCTGCTTGAGGGCCATAAACACCCCTCAGATAAAATTATCACCCCTGAAGTCTCCATACTCCTTAATGAAGTTTCAGGCCTTTTGTATCATGCTTCCTTATCTCGTTATCAGCCCTCCAGGACCCTTTGGGCCCTTGTGTTATGGACAGGCGATGGGGTCCTTGGGGCTTTATATCAAACCGGACCATTGCTATGGGTCCATTCTGCTCCCTCGTCCTTATGTAGAATCTCCTCAAAATTCGATATCGCCTTCACACTGGCAATCAAATTAAGGGTCATGGCCAGGAGAATCTTCAATAGAGAACCTGACAAGATAATACTCCCCCTCTCTTTAGATCAGTCCCAGTTCCTATGGGCAGACTCCACCCTCTTGCAGACCGTAGTCTCGCAGTTTACAGGGGAAATTGATTATCACTGTCCTAAGTTAAGAGGCTATCAGCCCTTTCCGTACTACAGATCACTGTTAATTGTCACACGTGTCCTTTGTCTTCCCCAATCTCCCTGGCCGCCACGGCCTTCACAGACACAAATAAAAGCAATTTCGGGGTCCTCATCCAAGAAAATGACAAGGAAGACCTAGTCATCAAAAGGAAAAATCCAGGCTCGGTTCAGCTTGGAGAACTCTTAGCCGTTCTGTTAGTGTTTCAACATACACAAGGTAAGCCCATAAACATCTTCTCTGATAGCAATATACGGTACAGGTCTGACCCTATATCCATTACCAGGCTAGCCATACAGGATCTACTTAGTAATAGATGTTTCCCTTGGTACGTTTCCCATATACGCTCCCATACTGATATCCCCGGCGTACTAGCCACTGGTAACGCTAAAATTGACAAGTTAATCCTAACTGCAGAGCTGCCCCACTAGAACAAGCCAGAATACTACACCAACAGTTCCACCTATCTCCACAAAACATACATAGGCTTCTGCCAGACCTTACCATTGCACATTGCAAACATCTGAGCCGCACCTGCACAACCTATGGCCCCCTTGCCCCCTTAGGGCCACTTAACCAATACGGGGTTAATCCCCGTGGGCTCATGCCCGATGCACTCTGGCAAATGGATATAACCCATTATCCTAGTTTTGGCAAACTTAAATATATCCATGTTATTGTGGATACTTGCTCATCCTATGTTCATGCCATAGCCTTGACAGGAGAAACGGCACCCCACGCCATTAAGGCCCTTAAGGCTGCCATGATGGTTATGGGACTACCTTGGGAGGTAAAAACAGATAATGGCCCCGCATATACCTCTCATAAAATGATGGAGTTTCTGAAGGCTATGGGGCTCAAGCACACCTTTCGAATCCCACATAATCCACAAGGCCAGGCAATAACTGAAAGGATCAACCCGTCACTAAAAAATAAATTACCCAAAGGTTCCCCTGAGTCAAAAGGGGATCTCCACCTGCCACTAATTGAAACCATTTTCCAGATAAACTTCCTCTCCTTTGATGAAAAGGGACTTAGCCCTGCCTATAAACATTGGGCAGCTTTGCCAGCCCCTACCCCCCTACCATTGGTACGCGGGAGGGATCCCATAACTCATGTTTGGCAGCCACCCCCCCCCAACAAAGGGGCAAGGTTATGCTTGTGTTTTCCCACAGAGCCAGCCCAAACCAATATGGGTCCCATCCAGAGATGTGAGACCAGCCATGGATCAGAAAAACTTGACAGATGCCTCTTCTGTATGATTTGTCTGCTATTGGTAAGAGCCACATCGATGATGGACCTATGGGCCCTGGTGCCTCTCCCTCCAATCTTGTTGCCCACTGATGTGGATTCCCCTGCTTTCCCAGCTCTCTTTACTACCAATTCCTCCACAGGGCTCCCATATATGGATGTAGTGGACATCGCTACCCCGACTGGGGGCAGATGGAATCTACACAATGTCCTCTGTTTTACCACTGATCCCACTCCTGGCCCTTATGTCAGATTAGTGAACACAACTATGGCGGATTTCAATGGAAACTATTCCAAGGGACAATACTTCTTATTAACCGGCTACATGCCACTGATAGAGTTGATAACAACACTCTGTGTTACAAATAGTTGCCCAAATTTAAGGAAGCCCAACCTTCCCAGATGCTGTCTGAATGACTGCACTACTGACTTAAACACTCCCATCATTTGGGAAGAGTGTCTACCCATCCTACCTTCTAGAACAGATCATTTCTTTAGAATACCAAATGTAACTTGCTTGGGCGTTTGTAAACAAATGCTGACTAATGCATCTGATTTATATCTCCCAGCTAGGAACCCTTCTCGATTAAATCAATACAACCCTGTTTTCAGGTCCTGGAACCTTTGCGGCCCATCCGCCCACCTGGACGTCCGTCCACTTGCTTTCCTATATGGAGCAATTTTGGCTAATGGGACATACTCTGGCACTAATGCCACTGGTTGGTGCAATCACGCAAATCTTACACAAGCCAATTATACATCCTTCAATGCTACCGCCGC